AGTTTAGTAGGTTTTAGGCCAAGAGCAGGAGAGCTGTCAGTAGATCTAAAAAAGTATTCAAGCCATGATTCGTACCAACAATATTTACACATGCATAATAAGTTTCAGCCTTCTAATTTGCACGGTCTTATAAAGAGTATGGTTTAACTGAAAATCGAAGTGATCTGTTTTACAAGAAACAGAAAATTTTAGCTGTAAAAATAAGAAAATTTCTGGTTTATCATCGAATTAAACATCAGTAGAACGAGTTTTATGGAGAAATCTGCTTCCATACCTGTAAAAAAAGCGCTCGAAGTTTCAACTTTAAACTCGATTTTCTCTAAACCAGATCATCAGAGAAATCTTTCAATCACACAGTTTTTATGCCCATACAAACTAGCAGAGTTTGAATTTGAAAGAAATTAATTTTTACCCGTTTTCGCCCATTTGTGTCGATTTGAAATAAATTGATTTTTGCTCGTTTTCGCTAATTTTTGTCAATTTTGTCAATGTTACTATTGAGAATCGTGCCTTTTTTAAATAGATATTAACTAAATTTGGCAAATCGTCTCATGAATTGAGTCAATAATAATAGTATATTGATGATGAATGTCTCGATATATGAATTGAGAACCATTAACTTAAACCTAATAACATCATTTATTTGAAGACAAGTTAAAACCAAAACAGATATTAATATACAATCAATGCTGTAGACAACAGACTTTAAAGGAGCCTGCAGAGTCTCGATAAAATGATTAATTGTGCATAAATGGGTAAATTGTGTACTCTTAGCATCTTTAAATCAAATCAATATCAACTATTAGTTGTGTATCATCAAGTTGATCAGCAAATTGAGGTACAACTTTTAACGATTTACCAATGTTTAAACCTTCAATCAATAAATTGTTCCTTCAACAGATCAACTTTGAGTAAAAGTGTAATTTCATTGAGACATAACGTTTAATTGCATTGTTATATCACCCTAAATGTTATCATAGAGTCTAGTTATACTAGAGATGGCGATTCTGGCAATTTAGTCCATTTAGATTACAATCGGCTATTTCTTATTAAATGATTTTCACTCAAAATGTCAGAGGAATGGCTAATGTTCAAAAATGTTCAACCTACATTTTAAGCCAAAGTTTTGTCTCATTCCGATACCGATCTTTTCAGTCTAGAAGAGTTAAGGGTTTGCTTTTTCATTTTTTTCATTTGACATTATGAATTTGGATCTTTACAATGTAATTTTGAAGTAAAGTATCTTCCTGAATCTTTGATTACATTACCTCATAGCAAATCATATCATCGATTCGGTAAACAAAATTTCGATGGTTTGGCAGCTTTGGTTAGATGTGATGGTTACATGGCGATGTATGATCAGATTCATGCTATCGCTGACTTTCATTCAGATTATCGATCAAACTCGAGTCAGGACAAGGAGATGTTGATACAGAATGATTTGTATTTCCAATTAGACTCTAAATCGTTATATAAACGGTTAATTAAAAACATTATTAGAGCTGAGTTTAAATATCAAGTAATCAGTGATTAACTTTCTAATCAATTAAAAACTGTAGAAGGAAATAGTTGAAACCAGTTTTCTGGTCAACATTACTTTTAAATTCACTTTTTTTAGCCTAAATAACTTGAATATAGACTAAAAATTCAACGGTATCGGTCAGAAATTGGGTTATTTAGATGTTATAAGGTAATCGAAAGATAAGGTTTATTTCAATAATTAATGACACCAATCAATTAGAAAGATTAAATGCTAATACAGATTCAAGATTTAAAAGCTTCAATAAATAAAGAGTGACATTAATTCATCAATTGATATTAATTTCGTTTATTGACTTCTTTTCGCTCAAATAAGTGTTTAACAGTACAATTTTATTTAGCAAAATGCTTTGATTTAGAGAGATATTCTCAACAATGCTTCAACAATGTTTTTCCGCCTTTGCTTAAGATGAAGAAAAGCTTATGTTTTTTACAGGTACCATGAATATAAATAATATTTTAAATCAGAATGAATGGGAATCGCAATCCGATGGTTCTTGTTTCCATGGTAAAGAGGCGAAAATATCAATCAAAGTTGGCGGGCTTGAAAACCTGTTTACTCTTTGGGTTAAAGAGTTTTCATATTGGCAACATGTGACTTTAACAAAACACAATATTTTTTCAATTTAAACTAATTGTTTCTGGTTAATAAATACATCTTTTGTATCTTTATTAATATACCACTTTTTTGTTACTTATGCACGGTTTCTCACTGTCATTTGCTTCTTTTGTGTAATTTAAGTGAATACGTTTTATTTATAATCATGTCTCGACCAGAATATCAAGCTCCACCAGAGTTTTATTACAACGATGAAGAAGCTAGGAAATATACAAGAAATTCTCGTATCATGGAAGTGCAATATCAACTCTCTGAAAGAGCTCTGGAAATTTTAGCTCTTCCTGAAGGTATCAAAGCCCACATTTTGGATCTTGGTTGTGGTTCAGGTCTTTCCGCTGCTGCCATTGAAGAAGCTGGCCATTCATGGGTTGGTGTTGATATTTCACCATCAATGTTGGATGTTGCCAAGGAACGTGATTTAGAGAAAGGTGATTTGATTCTTGGGGATTTAGGACAAGGGCTACCTTTCCGACCTGGAACATTTGACGGAGCTATTAGTATTTCAGCCCTTCAATGGTTATGTAATGCGGATAAAAAATCACACAATCCTGTTGCTAGGTTGAAACAACTTTTCACTAGTTTGTACAGCTGTCTTGCTCGTGGCAGTAAAGCAGTGTTTCAATTTTATCCAGAAGATGATAAACAAGTAGAATTGATTACCACTCAAGCCATGCGAGCCGGTTTTACTGGCGGTTTACTTGTCGATTATCCTAACAGTTCAAAAGCCAAAAAAGTTTACCTAGTTCTGTTTACCGGAGGAATTGATCCAGTAATGCCCAAACCACTGGTAAATGAACATGAATTACCTTCAGCAGTTTCCAATATCAATCGTAAAATGAAAAATAAACCTGTCCGAGGAAAGCCTGCGAAAAAATCTCGAGAATGGATTCTTGCAAAGAAAGAAAGAAGAAGACGTCAAGGAAAAGAAGTTAGAGAAGATACCAAATATACTGGAAGAAAACGAAGCGGAAAATTCTGATGTGTACTTTTTATTAAAGTAAAACCAACAACAAATTAAATTAAGATGAGCTACATGCTGTGTAAATGTTTGACTAAAACATTTCGATCATCTTTTTCAAATGTTTGATGATTCGAAATCTTTTACTTTCATAAGAAGGAATGTTAATAAAAGACAACATTATTTAAAAAACACCAAAGGTCTATAAAATTTGAATCTACCTGAAGAAACAATACTTTCTTCGTTATCTTACGGTTACATTCAATTTAGGTTGAAAGCTCCAAATTCATACTAAAAAATACCAATTGGAGTGAGTAAAAGGTTGATTCTCCCTGCCATTAAACATCAGATTTCAGATTTAAGTATTGATATTATTCCTTTTTATTTTCATTTTCCCTGCCATAAAACATCAGATTTCGGATTTAAGTATTGATATTATTTCACAACACTATTTCAGAACTTTCTAATCAATTGAAGTTCAAGTAAAACATAGACGACTCTTTCAACTATTTACTTGCATTGTGATATCTTAAAAGAGTTATTAGAAATACAAAACCAAAATGAGTGTATCCCTCAATTTTTGGCGAAATAAGTTAAAATAAAATTCTGGTTAAATGCCAACCTTTTGTTAATTTTAGTGGTTTTATTATTCAATTTTAATTGACTCTATCTATTTACATGTACTTGTATTCTGAATTCACTTTCTGTATTTGGTGAGGAATTTGCTAAAATTTCTAATGATAAGGATATATTGGAGTTTGATTCATTCATTTGGACTAACAAGTTGTGAGTTCAGTTGAGGTTATGGCTATTTTCTAATGGACATCTCAAACTTTTCTTTTTATAAGTAATTAAAACTCGAATTTAATCAGTCTCAATAAAATTTAAACTTTAAAACCTAAAATTTTACGGCTTTTAACCAATATAAAGTGAAAAAAGAATCACTTTCAAAAAAGTAACTTGACTAAAAGCAATCAGGTAAATCATAAGTAAAGACATCTCATTTAATATGCATACTGTAACTAATTGTCCAGTTAACACTTTAAAGATGACAATTTAAGGTAAAAAAAGTCAATCTTTCTGCTTGTCTATTAGTTCGTTATTTTAATGGTATATGGTGATCAGGAGAAACCGATTATGAAACGATTAACAATGGTTATCAATGTTAATCCAGCCTATTGACAAAAATCTGCATAAATGGCTATTCATTTCATCTTAGTCAGTTCATTTTCATCAAAACCACCAATTGACAAGTATCATCAAAATGTTCATCAATTCAATCACCTTAGTTGTAAGTTAAACACATCTTTCATCAATACTTTTCCCTAAAAATGTGACTCTCAAAGAATCAAGTTGAATTGACGTTCTTTTGTTTTATTTGTTTCCTTGTCCAGGTATCATGTTTACTCCTCGTACTGCCAGCTTCCATTCATGGATCAATGGGCCACCACAGGGAAAGAAATTATCAGCCCAATTACCGAGCAAACGGTGAACATAAATTGGTTAGAAAAGGCCATCTTCATGGTCATCTCATTGAAACTCCGTTGTCGGAAGAAGTAGCCTTGATTGAACAACACCAACCAGCAATTGAAAGACCAAGTTCAGTTGAAATTATTGAAGAGATCCATGAACCCAGGTATTCATCACCACCTACTGGTGCCATCATAACTCATGGTCCTTTGATAACTCCTCCGCATCATCTTCACCTTGTGCCTCTTAGACCGGTTATCAACCCCATCCATACAGATGTACATACCAAAGTTGTTGAAGTCTCAGCAATTCACAGTGATACAGGCCATGCCCACAGACTCGGCGCTTTTGCTGTTCAACCAATCCTTGATCATTTGCACACTGGCGTTATAAGGAATAGTAAGGTCATCGCAGTTCGACGTCAACCCAAATCAAGAGTTGAAATGTTTCACTCTCAACAACAAATTGAAACCTTGGATCCAGTTGAGGAATTATCAACTCCTAATCAACCAATGACCCCATCAGGTTATTATGAAGAGCAACAACAGCTTCAACAGCAACATCAACAACAGCCAATCGATCGTCTGAGAGAATCAAGAATGCCAATAGAGGAACGAGGCCGACCTTCAAGATCAAATAAATACAAATTTAATGGTCGCCATCAATCAGAGGCCATTATTGAACAATCACCAATCATTGAAGAGAAAGTTGTTTACACTTCATTGGCTAATTCTGGGCATCATAACAACGCACACATCCATTCAGTTCAACCAGCTCGTTTGGTTATTGAAGACAATCATCTGCATCATCACGCTCCACCTTCAACAGTTGCTACTTTAATTGCTGAACCTCAAAGCAATCATCATCATCATCATCGGATAGTTGAGCTAACACCAGCTACTCCAGTTGTGACTCCTGTTGTTTCCCATCTTCACGCTGTTCGACCAGCTCACTCGGTAAGTAAAGCTATAAATGAATATGAAAAATGAAATTAGATTGATTGATATGACAGTGAAAATTAATTGTACTCATCAATACATGAAGATATGCAGAAGCTTGTTTTGAAAAAACACAGCTGAATGCAAAAGAAGAGTTAACCCGGAAGCCTAAATAATTTATCAATTGAATGATGAAACAGAAATGTTGGTAATTATAAAACAAATGATACACATAATGATGGTGTGATTATGTTAGTGATATGATGAGAATGTTTTCAGATAGTTACTGATCAAGAATAAATCCTTTTCGGAATTAATAGGGTTAGTGAATTGATATTGTCCGCGATAAAATGATTATTTATTCTCGATTCTATTGAAATGTTTTATTTATAACCATGAACGGTATTTATATTTATACAGTATGAGTGACTATATATAAATTTATCATCTTTTTCTTGATTAGCTCTTAATGTGCGAGACAAACTTTTTTGACAGATTGCAGGGAAAAATGGAAAGTAATATTGTAATCGATGGAAACAGGATAAGAGTAGAGTGAAGATGGGAAGAAAGGAAGAAGAGAAGGAAGTGAAGAAAAGATGAAATTAGTAAATTAATGTTACATCAAGAATTGTTCGATGATTCCATAGATTGCAATCGATGAAAAAAAGGAGCAAAAAAGTGATTGGATTTAGACATAAAATCGAAAGAAGGAGGAATAAAAAAGATGAAAGTTGAAAGATGAGCAATAAGATGGATTCAGAGTTGAAAAAGGGTTTACACTAAAAGGAGAAAAAAGAAGGTAAAAAGGTTTTAAAAGATGATTTGATCCTCTTCTTCTCTCCTTAATGAAGATCAATAATAGTAACAATAATTAAATTGAGCATAAAATCTAAGGTAAGGAGAGAAGAGTTGCCCTGAAAAGAAGGGTGAAATCATCAGGAAAGGTTTAAAATCAGTAGGTAAAAGAGCAAAAAACAAAACAATTTAAAGATTTTAGCACTTAATTGACATTAATGCATGAGCTATGATGAGATCGCATCTTGTTCATCTTTTAATCGTTCCTTTTTTGTTTTCCATGAAAAATTGTTCCGGTTTGGCTTTCTTCATGAATGAAATTTTGTGTATTTGATTCGTTGATTTGTTGATGTTGCTTTTGTCAGGGTGATGATTACATCAAGGCATCTATAACAGGACTTTGGTGGTAAATGGCTTGTTTAACAGTGTACAGAGTTGGTTGGTTGGGTTTGCTTTTCTTTTCATGGCGATGATTGTTTTTGCGTTTTTTTGTGTGTGTTTATATTATTTTACATGATTCTAGATGGATAACATATTTACATAATACAAAAAAAATCAATTGGTTGGGCGTAAGAAAGAAAGTAGAGGGAAAAGAAATTAAGGTAAAAATTGAGAGAGAGAAGATAAATGATGAGAAAGAAAGAGAAATAAAGAGAGATCATTGACCTTTTTCATCTGTTATACAATGAAAGGGTTTAGAAGCATATTGTATATGTTGATTATTGTTTTCAGTTTCAAGGATCAGAATTAGCGTGACTTCCTGACTTTATTAGTCTGTGTATCACAATCAATCCATTTAGGATTTACTGGACACACATTTGCAATAATAAACTTCCTTCTCCTTCCTAGTCAATTTACATTGTTTTTCAAACTCACACAACAAATGAAAATGCAATTTCATTACATTTTTTGCTGTCTAATATCATTTGAGCAATCGATTCCCTAGTTTTATTTTGGAGGTGGTTACAGTTGCTATTATGAGTCTTAAAAGCTTTTTAAGGATGTCTCATAATTTTGCTGCATTTCACTTCCTAGAAACTCTTTCTTTGTCTTTCTTTTCCTTTGTTGTTGCAATAGCATATCACTACATTTCATCTGAAATTTAGGGTTCAAGAGAATCAGATAATTGAACGGAAATTTGGTAGAAAAAAAGAAATGATAGTGAGAAGAAAAAGTTTACATAAATAATAATCTATAAAAAAAATTCAATATCATCAATAATTCGGGGCTTAGCTTCTCTCAATTTTTTTTGCTATCACTTTATGAATTAATCCATTAGTTTGGGATAAATATTTTACTCGACATTTTAAACAATTTGGCGAGATAATAAGGAATTAGGAATAGCGATCATTTGTTCTCAGAATCACGTTTCTAACAATTCCATGAAGATCAAGAGAAAATCTGATTCTTGTATTTCTACTCTTAGCTATTTATCATTTAGTAGTTTATGCATGATTTATGTAAACTTTAAGGAAAGTTGTTATTCGTCTCTATTCCTTTTGATTAACTCACAAAACAAATACAATTTAGCTTTTGTTTGGCATTTTTCTTTCATTTCTAAGGTTTTGTTCGAGATTAGTGGACTTCTTTTTTTGTGTCATGACAATGTAAACAATTATTGTTTGAGAAATTAGATGAATTGAAGCCCATAGGTAAATGTTTTGTGAGTTACGAGATGTTTCAAGGATCTTCATGGTGAGTTATTATACATTGTAATATATAATAATGGTTAGAAACTAATGGATCAATTGATGGATTGTGAAGATGAAAGATAAAGCGAGAATGAGAGACACAAAATAAAGAGTTACAAACTAAAGGTAAATTAGGGAAAGAAAAGTAAACACAATGATTCACGTCTTTGAGCTAGGTAACCGAAGATCATGGCCAAACCTATGATGATGAATTCCATTACCATAATTGATTTGGGATAAACAGTTAAAGCTATCTCTGGATGCTTCCTCGTATTCATCTATTCCTTCTGAGTAATCTGATTCAGTTGGGTGGGTCAGGAAATGGTATGTTAATTTCGTTGGCCAGAGGAAATGCGCCATTACGGCATAAGCCAGAAAATTAACCAACAGAGAGAACACTGTTAATGTGAAGAAAGAGAATTAGATGTAAATATTAGTTATGACGATCAATTTGATTAATGTGAAATGTGTCAAATGAAATAGATTGAGGTTCAATTAAATGGAAATAAACGTACCAGAAATGAAATTGTACTTCCATTCAATTGATGTTTGAGATCCTACAAAAACGATTATTGGTAGGTAAACAAACCAAACCATAATACCAACACCAAAATGAAGGTAAAACCGTAATTTTTGTTGATCTTGTTCCAACATCATTGTAGCTCGTAGTTCAAATAGAAACCACATCATAATGATTATACGTAAGCCCAAACTTATCCACCCTGGCAGGGTTAAATATCTATCCTCACTCTCTTCAATCAAGGATCCCTAGATACAGAAAATTGAGAAATGAGAAGAACAAAATTTGTTAAATAAATACTGAATGTTGAAGTAGACAAATGAAAGTACCTCAGTCCAGCTGTATAAAAGTATTTCAGAGGCCAAGTAAGCAAGCCAAGCCATTGCAACAAGAGGCTTTGCTGTAACCTCTGATCGAGTTATTGGCCATCCTTTGGCAATTATAAGAACAAACAGAATGAATAGAGCCTAAGAGAAGATGAGAAGAGAATAAATATCAATTAAGAGAGAAAATCATTCGGAACAAACAATGAAAATTATCAGTGTTATCAAATCAGAGTGAAGAATGGAAAATTTCTGATTCAAATTAAAACATATTTGTTTAGTGTTGACATGTCAACGTACCAAAGCTGAAATCCGTAATATATCTACAATTAATGGCATCATATTGGGTTCATCATTGACTGAGCGGAAGAGTATTACATCTAAGGAATTGAGGAACAGCGCTAATGTGTACATCTCTAGTGAAATTGTGAAAAGATAAACCAATAAATTACGTGTTCGTTGGCGAACAAAGGCATAGGCTTGGATTAATGTTAATGTTAAGTAGAGAATGAGTATAACCAATGAGAATATCCAACTCTGGTGAAAGAAAATAAGTGAAGGAAAACAAGAAATGAAAATTATATTATGAGCACAAATTGCATAACATTGTGAATAAGAGAGAAATTTCAATGAATGTGAAAATATCATATTTAACTGAAATTGAGGATGTAATAATCAGTTATGATATAATCTATTCGGGAAGAAATGATTAAAATTTTTAAAAATTACCTTTTCTATTAATTCAGACTCGATGCCGTCAAAACCGGAGCTAACGGCCGCTGGTAATGAGGATGTATTCGTAGTCACCATCATTGTAGATGCTGGAAACGTAGATGCTGATGATGGAGATGAAGAAATTATAGCCGAAACTGTTGAATTAATTGTTGAAACATTGGAAAGTAATGGTGGTATTTCAGTTGAATCACTAATAGTCTCATTGATTATTGACAAGATTTTACTCGTTTTGAAGTCTCTTTTATCCATTTTGTTTGATCCTTTTTACAACAAAACAGGTGAGAAACAAAAGAAACCGATATTTTATTCCAAGTGCTATGTATTAAATTGACAGGCAAGATGAAACACAAATATATCCAAAATAAATCCAATAGCGGCTGTAATTGAACATCATAATACTGTGAAACACAAATTTTTAAAATACATGATTAAACTAATTCCATCAAAAAATCACAATTCTGTTGTTGATGTTGTCATTATTATCTTTGATCGGGTTACAATGTAAAAAACTTCATAAACGTTGTTGTCTGATTGTCAATTGTGTTTAGTGGTTAATAGAAAGAAATATTTGAAGATTTGATCGAGGAGGATCGTTCAAGAACCAGAAGAGGACTGAGTTTAAAGATAACTGATTATTAAGATATCCGATAAGCTTGAGGCATCATTTTACATGAAAAAAATATAAATATATGACTTCAAGTATATTTGAAGATGAAGAGAGAAGAAGGAAAATGAGATAGAAGAATGAATGACTGAGTGACTGGCTTAGTCAGTGAGTTAGTGAGTAGAAGGAGAGACAAAAAGAGAAAAAAATCAACAACAGTAATGACTGAAGCAGATAGTGATGCTAATAGTGGTGGTATATTTATGGTGGTGGTGATGTTGATGATGATTGCTGATAGTTGATAGCTGCTTTATTTGAGTGGGGATAAATTTTCATGGTCACATCAGGAGTCAGTCAAATTGTCCCACAAGTTATTAAACTGATGCACAATAGCAAAAGGAAGATAACAGATCAAAGACACACAAAAAAAATAGATTTAATCAGAAGCTTTCTTTCCTTTTTACTTTCTCTTGCATTTAAAATGAAATTAACTAATCACAGAATGCAATTTTAAAAATGAAACTGATTAGAATTGATGATGATAATAAATAAAATGAAACAAAAGATCAAGCAAAAGGATAAACAAGAGGATAGGATGAAGAGAAGAAAGCTTCTGAAGACATTTAATCCCGAATTACTTCAGCAATAGACAGATGGCGTTGAGAAAAGATGGGTTACTCTTTGGTTGCACAGCTGCTCAACATTCAATAAATGTTTCAGTAAAAATTAAGACAGACCTGAACTGAACAATTAAATGTAATCAAAATCATTAGCTAATAATGTATTTATCAAGTTAGTGAAATGAAAATTCAAATAATTAAGTTCACTCATCGTTTTTTTATCTCCCTTCAAATGTTTCAACATTTTACTTTCAAAGAGTTGAAGGAGAAGATCGTCAGAGTGAAGATGGATAATACATGCTTTCAACACAACCCTTTTTACTTGAAATGCTTACTAAATGGTTTACTAACTGTAATATAAGGTAAAAAGATTGAACTCAATTAATTCATCCATGACCAATGAAAGGTGTAAAACGAAGGTAAGAAAACAATCAGTTAAATAACATGATGACAAAAGTAAACAAAAAGGTTAATGAGAATGGAGACAAAATCTGGTTCATTTTTGTAATCTTTTTTTTCTCTTGTTCCTTTTCATTATCTTTCAAGTATCGTTATCATTAGACTAATGCAACATGATTTTGATACTTGTTCAACATTGATTTCAATTTTTGGCATTTAAAATGATTGAACAAAACAAGATTAACAATTGATAAAACAATATTCAACCATTTTTGATTAGACTAGATTGTCAATTATGCCAATTATAAAGCAGCAACAGTAGCAAAAAAGATACCAAGAGGACAAAAAACTCTGCAAATATAATAAATCTTTCAAAAAAGTGTAAAATGGTGTAACTTTCAATCTAAAGATACTGTTTAATAGCTCAACACTAATTTTAATTTCAATTGATTTACAGGCCATTACAATCCATTTTCCTATTACAATTGCAACCTTTTAACCATCAGATACATTGTCATTACAGGTAAAGTTCAAAGTTGTAAAAACCTTAACCTTCAATATAAGAATCAAGCAAACATTGAATTTTAATAATCATTTTACATGTCATTAATTGTCTTGAAACAATCTTACAACAGGTTTGTCTGCAATCTGTAAATGACGTTAACCAATATTTACTATCTTATTAAAAGTTCATATTTTTCATGCTAATTTTGCCTCACAGGCAACATTGACTTTTACAATTATCATTAAACAATGAACAAAAAAATCAACTGATTAGAAAACCAGTTTTCTTTGTTGCTTTTAAACATAAATTCAATCAACCAAACCAGAAACCAGAATTGTAAAACCATTAACACTTGGTTAAAATGTCATAATATGTTTTTAATGGACCTCAGATGCTGATTAATCAAAGGCAAACAATTAGGAAACTGGTTAAGTTTGACTTTTGAGTTATGGCTGGTTATGTTTTTTTTCTGGTTTTGTTTTTTTCTGGTTTTTATCTTCAACTCTTGGGTTAACCAAATAACCAGGCAATCAGTTTTCCTGGTGTTGACTCAATTTTTAATTAACTATTTTTTTTGTATTTTTATTCAACAATTAACATGACCTTGTTAATCATGATCAACATGTTTATTGGTTTAAAAGTTAACCTTTTTTTTGTCTCCAAACTCATTTCAATGTTGGTAATGATTCATGTTACCAGCAAATGTTGAGGCCAATTTTTTTCTGGTTATTTTCTGGTTTAGTTTCATCTTTCTCCTTGTAACAATTTACTTTAATTTTAGATTAACAATCAACCTCTCCAATCTTCCCTAGATCATTGTTAACCCTCAACTGTAAACATTAACAAGATCAAGTGTACATTTGGGTTTGTATACAATTGTTAAATGATTCAATTGGCAACTTGCAGTTCAAGGCTTCCAATTTTCACAACAATACATATTGAAATCATTGTTAAATGTCGTAATTGAATAAATACAAGATTATTCAATGATTAACTTAATCATCATTATGCAGTCATGACAAAATTAATTTATGATTGATACAGATTGAAATGAATTTACATTCAAATAAACACCCCAAAGTTGATTTGAACAGACATCCCATTTTGCCATCACACAACCATTTGCACTAAAACCATGTGAATTTAATGTCAATAATTGATTTCAGTTGAATATTGATTGGAGACAAGAACTAATTGGCGTTTACCCGATAATTGACAAGGTTGATCAGTGCTGGAACAATTATATAAATAACAAATTATCTCACTACATTTGATCTTCAAAAACTTACCTTTTGACTTTTTAGATTGCTAAAGCTAATTGTCAAGACTAAAGCTCAATTCTGTCGACTGCTGTTGGATGAAGTTAAGAAAAAGATACTTGAAAAACTCAGTGAATCAACCAGAAAGAATTTTTCAATGGAAAAAGATATTTCAACGAATGGAATGAAAGACTTCAGAATAAGCCTGGAAAACCCTTTAACTGGTTAATAATGAGATTTTTTACGGTGAAATAGATCTATTGGACAGAAAATTGGCCATATTGGAGCTCGACCCAAAGATCAGTAAATTGGGTGAAGATTTGGGTTCAAAAAGAGCCTCCAAATTGAGCCAATTGTTGATGAATTAAAATGAAAAATGACTTTTTGGGGAAACTCTTTCAAACAATCTCTGGTTTGCTTCATCAGTTTCAGAAAAAATTATTTTTTAGAAATGAATTTCAACATTGGAATCAGCTGAGGGTTAAATCTGATACCAGAATGGAGTGAGTATAAAGCTTTGTGTGAAAGCATTGGAAATATTTACAGATTTTAGCTGTGAATTGAAAAGATCGCTCGATGATCTTAATTTCGTTTCATTTCTTATTTTTTGAAGATTAATCAGTCCCAGTTTCAATATTGCATTTGCTTTTGTTTTAAAATATTCATTACTCAGCTCGTGAAATTGAAACATTATTTACGACTCGATTCTCAATGTGATGGAAACTGATCAATAAAGAAATCACAATTTAGATCTCAAGATTCTATCCAAATTAACGTTTGAAAGGAGTTAATTATTTGTAATTGTGTTCAAAATCCTTATAAATATTGGTAAATCCGCAGTCAAATCCGTGAAAAATGGGTTTCCCCAATCCTTTTGCACTGAGCTTTATCAGAATGGAAAAGCCTTTCATCCCTTTTCATCCATTTTCACAGATTTGATTATAACTCCTACTTAACACCTGACTTATCATCATCTGCAATGTTACAAATGTGATCTTATTTAGCTGATTACTGTTCATCTAATGATTTAATTGTCTTCACTATTGTTACTTTACTCGATAAAAGGAAAAGCAAAACTGTTTGACATTTGGTTATCACATTAAATATACACGAATCTGGTTTATTTTTCAATGTAACCACAGAGTCTGACATTGACATGACATTTCAGCTAATCAATTAACCATCTTTATGGACATGAATGATAAACGTAATCCTTTTCTTATTACATCAAATTACCATGTAATGACTATAATGTAATCTATTACATGTAAAGTTCACATTTATTGACCAAATTCAAGGTTTTATTGAACAAAAGGTAAAGAAGGTGAAAAAAGTTGATTCATTTTATCAATTATAATTGACTGATTGTGATTGATTATTGTGAAAGGTTAAACCATTTTAAAAACATGTAAATGCATTCATTGTATAGATCTTGAATATTTTGTAAATTTAGATTGACGCTTTTAGCCTCTATTGATGTCCTGCTATGAATCAACAATCAACTGTTAGTAGATGTTCATAATCACGCAATTTGTGATTCAGTTAAAAATAGCAATCCAATATTTACATGAATATTACTTTTAATGGAGATAGAATGGCATTAAAATGGCGTCAAATTGGATTCGGAAGCAAGTTTTATCTGGTTGTCTATAAATAGCATAGGAGAGGGACAATACCATTAGTTATTAATTATACTAGAGTTGTTATTATCTGATTTTTGTCAATTAATTTACGATTATAAATTCCTTTTCCTGCGTCTTTTTAATTTACTTCTGATTGTTGCCGGATAGCAAATAAAAGTCTAAATGTCATGAGATTCATTTGAACAACCTTTCAAGTTAAACTGTTAGCTATTTGAACATCTCACCAACTGAACTGATTACTCTTTAAACTATGACTTTTGGCATGTAGATTAGTCCAATCCTTGTGTAATCCTTAATTTGACCCAATTGTGAATTAAGGATTGAATCACCTTGAAATTGCCTTCAGTCGTTTGCCAAGTTTCACCAAGTCAATCTTTCAGCCTTTCCTGAGTAAACTCTTTATATCTTCTGGTAAACACAAAATTCAAGGGTAATCGTCTACATTTTTCATGAGCCTGGTAAGAAAATGAGAGAGAAAAGTGTGATTAAAAATAAATTGTAGCATTTGAAGATCAATGTTCCTTAAATTTTCATCAATTCATCCAAGCTTTGACTGAAAAAATTGGCAAAAGTACAGAGATAATTATTTTTCACTCGCTAATTTTCATATGTTAAAATGTTGAAAAATTCAGGTTATTAGGCATGCCATCTATTTGACACGATTATAATCAGGATCAGACAAAAATGGCTAAAGTACGGATCAGACGATAACATTATTTGACTGTCTATGGACTTTCTTGTCGGACAATTGATAATCATTTTTTATGCATTGAAATCATTGGCGTAAGGCTGAAAAAATTGATTGCAGACTCTGGAAATCGTCCATCCAGAAGCTGTCATTTAGTTCTAGAATTGTAAGACCTGTTTCACATCAAGAAATGGTGAAGTCAAATGCATTAGTTACTTTACCCTGAAATGGAAATGGTAAAATATTCAGAGCTGACAGATACTTGAAAGGGGAATCACTTTGGTTGACGAGGAAAATGGAATTAACTTCATCTAATTTGACAGTTTGAAGACGAAATAATTAGCTAAATGCTCGTTGTCTAAATGTGAAAAATTAGGTTTCCATAGGAATTGAAAATTACATAAGCAAAAAACGTTTGGAAAAATTTTAAATGATTATTTAACAGTTTAAGAGTTTAGAGACACATGAAATGTATGCAATATCAATTTGTTTTATGAGGAACCAAGCATATGAACTGTCGACGAAATAAGATTTCTTCGAAATCGATCATTCATAACTTCATCTGACCCTCAGTGAAAAATTTTCATTAACTCAATCAGCTTTCTTGAAAATTGTGAATCTCTATACTTTTTTCTGATTATTTTCAACTGGTATTAGCCATCAATCGATCCAATGGACGTTAAATTTTCACTTTTCAAGATACTTTTTGGTCAACTCATTATTCAATTTTGTGTAATATTTTTGCCAATTGTCGCTGAAATTGAAAACAGAAAAGCTGTTTTTAAACTGAAAATATCATTCCTTTATCATCTACAGTCTATACTTTATCTAATGTTTAGTAACATTATTCTTCAAGGAAAATCTTGAGATTTCAAAATATGATTCAATTGTTTTGATTGAATGATTATAATTAATTGACAGTCAATTGTTTTCTTTGTTATTCTTTAGAAAATATTAAACAGATAAGGAAAAATGAAATTTGACTCGGTTCAACTCAGAATTTAGATAACAAATGAAGAAATTAGAGTTTCAATAGAGGAATTGAATTTCATAGTTAAAGAGCCATTAATACATTCCAGATTACTCTTTCCTTTGTTTCATTTGTTAACCCTGATTGCAACCAATTATTGGCCCACTAATTGGTCACAGATGTTTTTTTGTTAATTTTGTTTTCTGTTTCCATTGGCTTTCACTTACTTTGTAAAATATTGAAACTTCATGCAGCCACTGATTGATCTAGAGCACAAAATTAAAATAAAGTTTCATGATTACTGAGCATACAAAACGTTTAAATATCACTAATTAATGTTAATTTGATCAAAAATATAAAATACGAAACCTGGCAACTAGCTCCATCTGTCAACTCATTTCATGCCTAAATAAGCATAATAATCAGGCTTAAAATGCAACCTTTGATTTAATAAGCTTAAACTGTTTATTGTTGAAAGTTCTGAAAAGCTTTTGACCTGTTGAAAAGCAAGAATATTGAACTGAAATGTTGAACACAATTAAATCGGATTAAAGAGACTGGATTAAATAAGTTTTATTTTCTCAAGTTTTAATCGTTTATTTTTCGTTTATCCATCAGATGGCGACATCTTCTTCCGCTTTTCTTCAATTCTCCTGGAGATTGCACCACTCGTGAATTCGATTACCAACAACCAATGTTATCAACTGGGCTAATTGACTAATTAGTTCACATTTTTTGTTATTTATCTTTGTATCAAGTGCTTTATTGTTTTAACCATTAAAGTGCTCAGTCTGGCTTAAACATGTCCAAATCCAGTGTCAAAAACCAGCAAAACCAAAATAATAGTTTGGACCAATCACTCAACCAGCAACAGCTACAACAAAACCATCATCGCAGCAAAAACAATGCAGAAAGGTTAAAGAAAAAGTTAAAACTTCAAGAGATGAGGTGTAATCTGATGTCCAACGAGATGACCAAATTAAAGAATATGTTGTCCGTTAAGAAGAGGCAGTTAAAATTATGCGAGAAAAGAGCCAAAAGAGAGGAGAAAAAGCGTCAAGATGAAGAGAAAAAATTGAAAGATATGGAGAAAGAATTTTTACGGTTAAAAAAAGAAAATGATGAAATGAAGGAAAATACCGCTTGTGATTTAATTAATAAAATTCCAGCATCACAACCTGAAGCCTCGTCATCCAATTCAACTATAAACATATCATCTTCATCAATTACATCTTCATCTGCTCCGTCTTTGTCATCTGGTGCCACGGGTAAAAAGAGAAACAAGAAATCAAAAGCTAAAGTTGAACCGTCGTCTGATCAATCTAGCTTATTGGAATCTGTGAAACCTGCAGCAAATGATGAGACTAAAAAAACCACAACTTTGTTACCTAGTTCATCAAAAGACTTGAAAATCAATGAAGGTGCCTCTTGTTCTGGTGTCAATACTAGCTCCATTAGCAATAATGTTATAAATAGCTCTCCTATGGAACAAAATATTCAAAATAATAAGTTAGAAGACCTTTTTGAGAACGAATTGATGTGTTCTATTTGTCATGAGTTGTATATCAAACCAGTTGCCCTGGCTTGTTCACACATCTTTTGCTTATTTTGTATTGAACAATGGCGTAGCAAATCTCATCGCTGTCCTATTTGCAGAAAGACTATTTTAGATACTGCACCCCAAAATATTTTGGAAAATGTGATTGAAAAAGTTGTGAGCACTATGGACGATGAGTCTCAAAAAAGACGAGCTGATGTGGTCGCAGATAGGCCCACTTCAACTGAACGATTTTCAAGAAATGACGGTAAGTGTTATCTTTACTTTTTCATATTTCATTCTTATTAACGTTTTCCTCTTACTTCATTTTTTATCTTGAATAGATACTCGTTTTCCAGGTCGACGCCTTTTTTTATCAAATTTAAGTGCCTGGAATGGTTTTGGAGAGATTGAGAATTCTTCGGATTCTATTTCTCACAGTGATTCATCCTCTAATCGGCGCCCCGGCTTTGATACTTTTCCACCATTTCCTGCCTACGGTATTTTCGGCAACAGGTCGGAATCTAGCTTGTCAACCTCAGAATCTTCAAATATCGAGCATGATGACTCAAATTTTGATGAGTTCTTTCAAGGATTTCTCGGTTATTTAGCTGAAAATGGTCACTCGCTTGATGAAGACGACGAGGAGGATTACGAGGATGAAGATGAAGACGATGACGAGGACGATGATGATTTGGACGATAGTGAAGATCCGGACGATATTGATGATGAAGATGAGGATGAGGACGAAAGTCTTAGTGAAAGTGAAACTTATGATATTGATGACCGAAGTGATTCAAGTATAGAAGCATTAAATGATTATTCAAATTATGATGAAGAAGATTATTATCCTTCTCCTATCACTATTGATAGTGGATCGTCTGCTTACTCTGGTTCTTCTGTTGGATCGTCTTTCATGGATGATGAAGATGGCGATCATGATGACTCTGGTAGTGACAGTACATCAAATTCTGGTGACTCCATAAGTTTTGATTACCTTTGATTGGTGGACCTGATTTATGATAATATTAACTCTTCACCAAGTTAATTCTATTTATAAAGATTCTATTCTATCAACAATGAGTTCCCGTTTTTCAGTCCTTTCTACGACTTTCCAATTTGTTCCTTACTTTATTTAGTTGCTGAAACACAGCCATGTCGAGATAAAGTTTAAGGAAAAGAAAAAATTAAATCAGCAAAATATAAACAAATTTAGCTAATTAATACTTCATGTGAATGTTGATTTTACTTTTTCTCTTTTGTCTAAGTAAACCTGTGACGAAGTCAAATGTCTTTGTATAAAGAAAAAGGTAAATAAAAGAAGAAAATTTGATAAATTCTATTATTACACACTAAATGTTATCTGAATCGTTTCTTTTTAATGTTAAAGGTACTGTAAACTGATTGGTAAACACAGATTGAATGTTCTGAACTATTGGATCATAAAACATTTATGTTGCAAATCCTATTCTTAATGCACTTCTAGAATAATTCAAACATTTCATGAATCAACGTAAACCAATTAATTTCATAGGCATCTGATTTTTCTAGAGTATTGATCATCATCCATTTGAAACAAACACTCAAAGTACACATTTTGAAATGAAAATAAACAATATTATGACATTAGCTTGCATTTAAAAGGGTAACTTCTCATTCTTGTGCTTTGAATTTCCCCAAAAACGCAAGAAATTGAGTAAGAAAGTAATTAAATGATCTTAATGATAATAAATTGATTAAATTTGATTCTAATTCATTATAATTATTAATTTCCGCATAACATTGAGAACATCTGACAGCCTTTCGATGATTAAAGTGAAATTTGAACTCATGTAATTTGAAATAAAAATTGTTTGTATTTATGATCAGTTCAGTGTAAAGAAATTCTTAATTTCTTTGGTGATTCTCTTTTTCACTTTCAAGCGATTTCACCAGATTAAAGTAAATTGTGGTAAAACCTTCTGATTTATATTTTCCGCTTTGATTAAAAGTTGCACCCTTTTCTCAACCTGATTGGCTCTTTAGTATTTACTTTCTTTTCTTTCTTCTCTTTCTCCCTCTCTGCCTCTCTCTTTCTCTTTAATCATTTTGTTTTATATTTGCTTTTTGTATCTTCTGCTCTTTCCAATTAAGTGTTAATTAAACTATACTTCGAAAGTTGAATTTACTATTCTTCTCTTTACGGATTAAATTTGGTCAAGTGTATTCAATTTCTGTCCACCAAAGTTTTTCAGAATCTCTCTATTCTTTCAGAATGTTTTTCTGGTATTAGGGTTGTTTGTATGTGATCTAATAATAACTATGTTTCAGTTACACTTTGTTTCTTTATTGTTGCTGTCATTGTGATGATTTCAATTTCCACCAAACCTTTTGGTAAACTATGGATTTCACACCAGAGTTAACAGATGTTAAATTACCGGGGCCAACAGATTTATTCAATGGAACAAACCCAAAAGACACCAATAACCGAGATTTTTCTTCACATCTATCCAGCTTGGAACGTATATTAGAAGAGGCAACTCAATGTTTATCACCATCAGTTTCAAGAACCAACCCAAAATCAAAAAGTAATCCTTTATTAGACCAATTGCTGGACAAACCCTTAGATGATGGTGACTTAAGAGTCTTTGGATCTTCTGGAGGTTACTCTGATAATTGTGGTATTGAGCCGGGAACTGAATTTAACTCAAATGGAAATGAATGTTCTCCCAGTCTATTCGATTTACCCATAGAATCTCCACTTCCTTTCGGAGACAAAAGCAGATCTAACATTTCTGAAGATGAAATCGTAACCGACTGCGAGGATGATGATGAAGACCAAGAGGACCATGAGGACACTGAGGATAACGATGATGATAGTAACAGTGATGATGAAGACAAAGAGTCAGAAGATGAAGAAAATTCAGATGAGGACGATAAAGAAGAATCTAAAAATGAAAATGGAAGATTTAAAGATGATAAAAATGTAAATGATTCCGAGCTTAACGAAATCTCCATGAAATCTATCGATGTCGATAACAATCAACTTGCAGATTCAACTAAAAACAATAAGCGTAGTGAAGCTGTTCGGAAAAGCTCCAATAGATTGAATAAAGGTCGAATCAAAGAAAGTGGGACTTCTAACACTGCTGATAAACTTAAAGGCAAGGGTTTAAAGCGAAAAGGCAAAACTTCTAAGGATGGTAAAAAGGCTAAACGATATATGATGAGAAAAAATATTAAGAAAATAATTTCAGATGGCGATGTCAATGAAATTACTCTTAAAGCTCAACAAGAAGAAGCCGAACGTTTAAGAAGAGTGGAAGAACGTGCTGCTTTAATGAAACAACAAAACCAAAAGTATTTGCTACAAAATAGTCAAGATGATGTGATGGTTTTAAGTAGTGACGATGAACTGATTGCTCCGTGCAACTCAGGTTATGATTTCAAAAATGATTCAGATGCAGACATTATTGAGATTGCATCGGATGATGAATTTTCGGGTGACGACGATCAGCTCTCTTCAAATAATAGAATTAAAAAGGAAAGAAAAAGAAGAAGTGCCGGTGATGTTGAGTTCATCGATACCAATAACGATGGTGCTCATACTGATGATAGATTTAATCAACCAGATGAACAAGGTCGAGTTTTGGTTAATGTTGGTCACAATAAAAACGAGGAACCTATTTATTTGGCTCCTCAACTGAGCAGAGCCGTTAAACCTCACCAAATTGGAGGAATCCGTTTTCTGTATGATAATATTGTAGAATGTTTAAGGAAGCATAAAACTTCTGAGGGATTAGGATGTATCCTAGCTCACAGCATGGGGTTGGGTAAAACTTTGCAGTTGATCTCTTTCATTGATGTTTATCTAACTCATACTCAATCAAAATATGTCCTTTGCATTGTCCCCATCAATACTCTTCAAAATTGGATGAGTGAATTTGATATGTGGTTACCTTCTCAAAAAGTTGCTGCCTTTCGGCCCAATTCATCAGAGATGAAATTTCGCCAATTCGATGTATTTATGTTAAATGATTGTAAAACATTATCTTCTAGAGCCAAAGAAATTCGTAAGTAAAATTTTTAGTCACAATTTTGTTGAAAACATCATAATCTAATTTTGTTTCTCTTTCATTTCTTATCATAGTTGCATGGAGAAAATCTGGTGGAGTCCTTCTGATTGGTTACGAAATGTACCGATTATTGACCACTGATGGTAAAACAGCAAAAGGAAAGAAAGTGAAAACGAAAGAAACAGAAGGTCTACCAAAAGAAACTTATGATCATCTTATGTCTGAGCTTAAAGCAGCTCTGGTCGATCCTGGACCAGATCTTGTCGTTTGTGATGAAGGGCATCGTCTTAAAGATGCCGCTACCTCGCAAGCTTTAAAAAATATACGAACTCGTAGACGTATTGTATTAACTCATCACCCGTTGCAAAACAATCTCATTGAATATTGGTGCATGGTTGACTTTGTTAGACCTAATTTTCTTGGTACCAAACAGGAATTTTGTAATATGTTTGAAAGGCCGATTAGTAACGGTCAATGTGCTGATAGTACACCTGAAGATAAAAGAGTAATGAAACAGCGTGCTCATGTATTACATAAACTTCTTCGAGGTTTTGTGCAAAGGTATGTTATTTAGTAATCAATGTTTAATTACAATTACTAATTGTTCTCTTTTATCCTCTTCTCAGGCGAAGTCACTCAATTCTTACCAAATCACTACCGAGAAAACATGAACATGTTATTCTCGTTCGTATGACTCCGATTCAAAAGAAATTGATGTTAGCTTTTCTCGATAGGATAAAGAAAGATCTTGCTAATTCTCACCGACTCAATCCAATAATGTTGTTTTCAGTATTTTGTAAGGTAAGTTACCTTGATCAAGAAGTTGTGTTCCATTTTATTTATCACGTAAATTTTGGTTTTATTTCTCAGATTTGGAACCATCCAGATATATTATTTAAAATTGTAAAGGAAGGTCAAAATTTCGATGATCTTGATATCGATCTTGGAGAAAAAACAAAAGGAGATAAAAAAGCTGGTAAAAAGAAAGGTTCTAATGATAAGGTAAATTTTTTTTCATTTTATATAATATTTTGATTTAGCATCAATTTCTAATAATTTATTTTCAAACAATTAGAGTTCAAACGCAAAAAATGGTAAACGTGGGAAAAAATCAACAACTGTTACACTCAGTGATATCGAAGATGAAGATTTGTTTGTACCAAAGAAAGACTTAAACCAAACGAGAAACTTAAACTCTAACAATGCTCCAAATAATTCGTTTGATCAAAATGGTAATGGTTACAGTGTTTCTTTCTCTAACGGTCAACAATTAGACGGTATGCAAAATCCATCTTCTGATTATTCAAGTAACAACCAAGAGAGAACGTTCATGAATCAACAATCATCTCAATATCAAAACCATAATTCAGGTCACAATGACTTATATCATCAGACAAATTCTAATGTTAACAATTCTTCATATTTCAACTTATTCAACTCAGATAACGTTAATCACGGTAACAACTTTGATTCTTATCTTGCCTCTAATTCATCTTACAATCATCAAGCCAGCTCTTATCACAATCCATCAAATCATCCTAACTCAACTAATTCTAAGCCTTCGAATCAACCGATTTTGGACTTGGAAGACGATGTTTACAATTTGAATAGACCTAGCAGTAGTACACGCCAACCAACTCATTCGAATATTCAGTATAATTGGAATTTAGCACCAAACAATCCTACGGTAAATCCATTTGCAGAGTACAAAAATATTATTGATGTACCGACTCCATCTACAACGACTAACCCACCTTTTGCAACACCCGGATCTTATCCTAACCGAATGATGGACTATACTTGGGCAGAGCCTATCGTTGCCAATTATAAACCGGGTTTATTGCAAAATGGTTTAAAAATGTTGCTCTTTTTCGAGATTGTCGAGCAAACAATCAAGAAAGGCGATCGTCTTTTGGTGTTTAGCCATTCTCTATTCACCTTGGATATCATTGAGAAATTTTTATCCCAACGTAATGTTCCTAAAGCTGAAAATCAAACAGGCAGTAGAACTGAAAAATGGTCCAAAGGAAACAATTATTTTAGAATTGATGGATCGACAAGTGCTAACGAAAGAGAGAAATTAATAAATTCTTTCAACAAAAATAGTTCTGTTCATCTCTTCCTTCTGTCCACTAGAGCTGGTTGTCTTGGTATCAATTTGATTGGAGCCAATAGAATAATCGTATTTGACGCTTCATGGAATCCATGTCATGATGCTCAAGCCGCATGTCGTATTTATCGTTATGGCCAACAGAAAGAATGTTTCATTTATCGATTGATTTGTGATGAATCATTGGAGAAAAGAATCTACGATCGACAAATAACTAAGCAAGAAGTTTCTCATCGAGTTGTGGACGAGCTTAATCCAGAAACAAATTTCACTAAGCGTGAAATTGATTCTCTTATTGAGGATCTTGATGATATAAACCTATCAGAAGTAAAGTCATACTCAAAAGAAGAATGTGACGCTTACGAAGATGACATTATCAGTTATATTTGTAAAAATATGAACCAATGCCTGTCAAAACCCCCATTTGAACACGAATCTCTTCTTTTGGATCACAAGGAAAGCAAATTATCTCAATACGAGAAAAAGTTAGCGGAAGCAATTTATTTCAGACAAAAGCAAGCAATGACTCAAAGTGCTGGTCCTGCTCCTAAAAATCCTATGATAGCTAATCCTAATTTCCTTGCCAATGTACCAACTGTTCCAACTATTCCCGGTAAACCCGCACTTGGACGACCCTCCTTGTATCCTTCAGTTGGCATTGTGCCGCCTCCCGTGAGATCAAGAATGCACACTCCTTTCAATGCCCATGGATGGAACAACTATCCGACTGGTCATCCAAACTTTAACTTACCAAACTCTTCAAATAATTCATTTAACCAACCAAGGGTTCCAAATATTTTGAGCCGCAATAGCATTATTAATCAGTATAACAATTTACCTCCAGGAGCTTTCGTCGAGCAACTCTCTCGTATGGGCTATTTAGTGAAAGCCTTTATCAACCCGCGTGACTTTATTATTCCAGCAAGCGCATCTAATCGCGAAGTAGTCAAAATAACTAAAGGAATGGAAATTTTCATGATTCGAAGTCCTCAAAATGAAGTTTACCTCCGTACACATGAGGGTCGTATGTTTTCATTGAAAATTGACGAAGCTAAGTGTTCAGCCCTTTTTGGTAGTCAAAGCATGCCTCCAGAATCAACACCATTGCTCAGTAATATGATTTCTCAGGTAAATATCAAAAATTCATTTCATATCAATTTAAAAGAGTTTACATTTAAAATTAATTTTCTTTTTTTACAATCCCAACAGAGCCAAAATCATGCATCTCCATCATCTTCGCTCAGTATGCCATCAACATCTTCAAGTCAACCTGAACTGATCTGCCTCGATGACGATGATTAATTTATTGGACATTTATTGGATAATTTTGCAGTTGAATTATTTCAATAACTCGACAAATTACTCATAAGAATAAGTGTCATTTTCACTTTGAAAATTTGCACATCAATATTTCTCTTTCTTTCATTAGTTTACGAGAAATGGTAATCAACCAATCAGTGATTTGGTATCTATTGATATTTACATCACTAAATCAAGTTAGCATGATATACAATTCATGTTTGCCTGGCTATTACTGTACATTCGTCCACTCATTATTTCGTTTCATTTCGTTCAAATTTTTTGCTTACAATCGTCATCATATTTTTTCCCCATCCACCACCTAAATTAGCTTCCCTTTTCTAGGCCATCTAATTAATCACTGTATAATATAAATTAGAACGACTAAAGTATTGACTTGATTTGAATGTTTAAATATTTCCCAAACCCTATGTGCATCACTTTTTTTCTGTTCAATCATTTTCTTCAAATTACCTCTCTATTGGTTTGTTGCTTTATTTTGATTTCTATAATTATTACTCATATTTATCTTCTTTTTCCTTTTCATCTACACAAGAAATTCACTACAAATTATTATCATGTGTCAAACTATAAACAAAAAGCTAAACTCCTTCTTTTCTATTCCCCAAGATTCATGTATTATGGACAACGTTTCAATTTGTTCAGAAAAATTTATACAAACCATAAACAAACAATTATTTGAATCAAACCGTCTCCTACAATTTATTAAAATCTTTCATATTAACATAAATCTAACTATCTAATTGAAGGATAACTTCAAGTAAACTACATTGAATATAACATGATAAATTATCAATATCTTTGTATTTTGAGAAGTAGCAATTTCAATGGAACTGCCAAAATCATTGGAAATATCGCGAAGAAAATAAAAAATTAGTTTTCTGTTTAGCATTTGTATTGTAACAATTGTCACAACTTCCCAGTTTATCCACGTGATTGTTTACTTGGATCATAATTAGCCACACCTATTGATTTTTCATTAATCACTATTAACATCTTACCTGTTATAATCACTTAGATTCATTTTGTGATCAAGGCTGCTCTTAACAATCACATGGATTAACCATTTCTTATATTAACAGGTATTTACCAAATAGTAATCTAACAGATTTTAATCCAACTATTATTAATAAACTTCTTTTAATCTAACCATTCAACCTAATTAAATTTAACATGTAAGTGATTAAAGTTATCCACAAATTATGGACTAATCATAAAGAATTCAAAAGCTTTTTGATCATTGGATTAAGTTACAGAGATAAACCATTAGAAAGGTAAGAATTTTCTTAAAATTTCAACTTTCTTTCAACAATCAAACAGATTAACATAAATTATTATTCCAAAGCACTCCTAATTTTGACTGATCTAGACATCAAAACAAAGTCTATTGCAACTGTATGTGAAAACGGAAACATTTCAAACTTTAACAATCTAGTTGATTGCTGATAAACTCAGTCAAAATTTAAAGCCTTTATTAAAAATTAAGTTACTATTAGTCTAAATGTATGAAGCTTTGATCACTTCACATGAGACTAATAATGAAAAATTTAAAAGTTCAATTATTACGGCAAATGGTTTAATGCTCTTATTTATGTTTTAAGACAAGTTATTACCTTTTTACCTTCTAGGTTAAGTTATTATTATCATTAAACAATTTGATTCAAACCTAACAAAGAGTCTTGACAATTAATTGAGACAATATTTAGGTAAATGCTGCTTGATTGTTGAACTTTGCTCTTGATTAGATTTATAGCTGCTCTTATTGATTCTCATCATTTCCAATGTACTTTTTTATTCATTTTGTTTCCTCTTAATCAGCATCAATAATCATCTTGAACCTCATTTGTTCAACAACATTACATTACAATGTATTGGGTTGAGTTTTATTGCAAAACTTTATTGCTATTGTTACAATTTATAACATGTTGCTGATAAATTTAAACATTTCACCTCAAAATCTCACAGTTTTGAAAAATGTCTGCAAAAAATTAGGTTGGAAGATGAAAATCAAGTCATTCATTGATTTTTATTTTATAATTGATCAATTAAAACACAGTTTCCTTGCTTACTTTTGTTAATAACTGTTGTTACAAGTTACAACTATTCAAGAGGCTGATTTAAATGGTGATAATTGAACAATTATATTGACTAGACTGATAAGAAATATTCAGTTGGAAATAAGTTGTTATTATAATCAAATAAATATCTTTAGATTGTTAATCAGACACTTAACTGAGTCTAATTCACCAATGTTTTGAGAAAAAAAATAATACATGAAATTGTTAGCCATTGATCATGTTTCATTGGTAATTTGAACTATAATTGATTATCTTTGTGCATTGCAAAATAGTTTTTGGTTAATCATTTTCAGTGGTTCAGAGGCATGAGTATGGTTAAACATTTCCGTTCACAATATTAATGGTTCCATTTGTGTTTCTCACCAACGCAACAGATTACCAATTATCCTGAAAGAATCATAAAAGATAAAAAGACAAAGTGTTAAATTAAGTCAACATCATGGTCGCCACTGGAGCTTTGATTGGTTTACTTGGTACCAAGTTGAGGTACCTTGGTAAAATTAAACCGACAACAATTGACAATACAATTTTCAAATTGCATTACCGATGGACAACAAATATGTTACTTGTGGCCAGTATTGTGGTTACATGTACCCAGTTCTTTGGTGATCCAATCACCTGTGTTAAAAGTGAAAGATTCGTCAATCCGGCCATCATTAACAATTATTGCTGGATAGAAGGAACCTTTACCATACCACAAGCTTTAACCAAAGTACCAGGAACCGAGGTGGCTTTACCAGGTATCGAGAAAACACCAACCGATGCAACAGATTTGCTAGTTCACAAATATTACCAATGGGTTTGGTGGGTTTTGTTTCTTCAAGCTCTAGCTTTTTACTGCACACGGATTATTTGGAAGGTAAGTTAAAATTTTAATAAGAATCAAAATTGTTACCAGAATAATAGTTGAACTTGAACCATTGAATTTCAATGATTGAAAAAATAAACAAAACAAAGAAGGATTAATTTGTATCAGATAGGAATCAATTAAAGACTTGATCCATATTAAAGTTCCTTATGTTTTGCCGTTAAAAACGATAACAAAGCAAATTATTCAAAATTTATCTTCATCGGATGAGTGAAAATATTCAGATCAGAAAGACAGACTTTTTTCACCCAGTTGTCCACATCTTTTTGGGTATGGTCAGTTGATCTTTCCAATTATTTATGGTTTAGTTCCAACAAGTGAGAAAAATATTTGATATTTCAGTTCAAAGCATTGAAAAAGGAGCTCTGCAACAATATTCACATTGGATAAGTTTTCAGATATTTTTTATTCATTTTTAAGATTTCTGCTTGATTATACAATTTCATTCATTTAATTGCATTTTTTGTTTCTTTACTTTCAGAATTGGGAAAACGGAATAGTTGCAAAATTAATAACAAACCTTAATCGAGCTCTAATCGATGAGGCTGAAAAGAAACAAAACTCTCATTTTCTGGTTAATTTTCTGAGAGATCGCAAAGGGCACCTTAATCATTATGCCCTCAAATTTTTATTCTGTGAGATATTCAATTTGTTCCATGTGATTATTGAAATTGTTATCACGGATACCTTTTTGGGTGGCTATTTTCTCGATTATGGTTACTTAGTGATGGCCTATTCTGGAGATATTGAAGACATAAATCCAATGACCAAAGTGTTTCCCAAAATGACCAAATGTACTTTCCGTGTTTATGGTTCTTCTGGTGATATCCAAATTTACGATAACTTTTGCCTGCTTCCATTGAACATTATCAATGAAAAAATTTATCTTTTCCTGTGGATATGGTTCATATTTTTAACCTTTGCTTCTTGTCTATCTGTTATTCATAGACTTGTTTCATTCATCTATCCACCATTTAGACAGAAATTACTTCAGTATCTCGGTCGTCGAGCCAGTGCACAGACCCATGTAACCCTGATTGAATCGCTTTCCTATGGTGACTGGTTCCTGCTCTATTTGATTGGACAAAACATTGAACAATCACATTTAGGCGAAGTTCTAGAATTATTTGCTCTACAATTGGATGAAGAAGCATATGAAGCCGCTGAAGCCCCTAAAGCTAAAAAGCTATCAGAATCATCAATCTAAATTAAGAGCCGATAAAGACTAAAATGACTGCAGACAATCATGACAATCACCATAATATCGTCATTTAATAACTTATTAATTATACAAATTTATTCACAGCCTTTTGTTGACGCATAATCTGGTGATGGTAATTATATATTTTTAATCAATCAAACCTTTTCAAGATTCACTCTAAAATCTTCTTGATGCACATGGTTTTCACAAGCATGACAAAACAATTCTCATGTTTTACCCATTTTTATTGAAATTAAATGTCATCAATTTACACTATCCATGCACACTTATAATCAAAGAATCTTTTACTCAATATCAGATTAGCAATAGTTGTACCAGAAATTGTGAATTGTAATTCATGTTAACTCATAATAAACAAACATTAAGACAAGACAACTTTTGTTATTCATTGACTTGAAAGATATTTCTTCAGATTTATTGCCGCAAAAAGCAGTCAACATTATAAACTGGTAGAAGATTAATTTGTAATTACATTTGATCCGAAGAAGCTCAAGGTTTCCTTGGTTATAAGAGATAATTCAATTGCTATCAAATTAAAAAGAGTAAATTATAATAAACGCAAGAAACAGAGTAAACATTGAAACAAGGGTGACCTTTTCACCAATCTGTCCCTTCCTTACACAGAGAATCATTTCAATAGTCAATCTAGACGCTAAAACATCTTGCAGCAAATTTATTTAGTGCATCAACAATTTCAATTAAACACTTAATGAACTCAAGATTGAATCAGTGAACAAAACAAATTTAAATATTGTCCCAAGTTAATCCCTATTATGCCCTGTATCGGGCTAATTTGTGTGTAATTTACTCTCTCGGTTAATCAATCTTTTTTCATACAAATTTACGTTTACAACCATTGTAAACCCAATCAGTGGATATAATTTTTCATCTCTAATAAGCGTCCAACCAAGTTTTCACCATGTCTTCGGCTGGTTATTTGATGCCTTTATTGACCAGAAAATTGAAATATCTGGGTAAAATAAAGTCAACCACAATTGATAATACAGCCTTCAAGTTACATTACAAGTACACCTTTAATGCTCTCATTATTGCCTGTGCCGTTGTAACCTCGTACCAATTTTTTGGTACACCAATAATGTGTCTAACTCAGGCTAAAACGGTTAACCCGAAAACGATCAACAATTATTGTTGGGTTGAAGGTACTTTTACTATGCCGAAAGCATTGACCAAGATAACCGGTGAAGATGTTGTTATGCCTGGAATTGAAAAGAAAGATCGCCAAGATGAAATATTACCGCATCAGTACTACCAGTGGGTTTGTTTTGTGCTTTTCTTGCAAGCTTTAGCTTTTTACTTTCCTCACCTACTTTGGAAGGTAAGTATCAATGAAATTAGCTAATCAAGTCGAGTATTTGTTTCATAAATTATCATCAATAATCACCTATTTTGTGCACAGAGATGGGAAAAAGGTCAAGTTAGACGATTGGTTGCTGATTTGAATAAAGCTTTACTTGATGATGGCAAAAAGACGAAAAGTGCTACTTCACTGGTCCAATTTCTAGTCTCTCGCAAAGGACAATTCAACAGCTATGCATTGGGATACTTTTTTTGTGAAATCCTGAATTTTGTCCATGTTTTGTTTGAATTTTACATTACCAACTTATTTCTTGGTGGTAACTTTATTGCCTATGGATGGCAAGCTATGTTTTTTGATGGATCGGCTGACGAGATTAACCCATTGACTCGAGTGTTTCCTAAAATGACCAAGTGCAACTTTAATCATTATGGTTCCTCTGGTGATGTTCAAATTTATGATAACTACTGTTTACTGCCTTTGAATATTATCAATGAAAAGATTTACATTGCTTTCTGGATTTGGCTGGTTTTCCTTGCAATTGTATCCTTTCTTACAATCATCTATCGATTGTCTTGCTTCTATTATCCACCAGCTAGATACCGATTATTGCAAATTGTTTCAAGACGATCCAGACCTCAGGTGGTCATTGATTTGGTTAATCAATTGACTTATGGCGATTGGTTTGTACTCTACCTATTGGGACAAAATATTCAACAATCTCATTTAGCTGATATCCTTGAACTATTGTCACTTCAATTGGAGCAAGACGCTTTCAATGAAAACACCGAAAATGAGATGAAAGCAATTTCTGTTGATTCCAAGGCTTGAAAAAAGAGGATCATCTCTGAACTCGAGCCAAAATTTTCTACAAACAATCAGGAAAAATGAAAAACGAGTTAACTAAATTATTGAAAAATTTACTCTTTGGTCTTTTGTCATTTTGTTTCTGTACACTGATTGTTTCAATTAATTATTATAAACATAGATACCAATAATTAAACAGGGAAAATTACAATTGGGAAAGTTTCTTTCCAGCTACATAAATTTTTATGTATAAATTATTATAATAAAAATGATTGCTATTTAAGATGGAAACTATCACTGTAAGAAATTGTTGGTTTCTTGTAAATTAATGATGGTCGGTGATTTTGGCGATTCAGGTTGATCATAAGATTCATTGGGTGTTTCATTTAATGATTTAAAATCTTTCCAGCTTTGATCTTCTCTGGGTAAATTTAAACAGATTGATTCAAAATGAGTTGTAACATTTCGCGTTAATTGGCGATGTTGAGCCGTTTGCTGAGCATTTTGTTGACTTGAATAAAGACGATGTTGTTGAGGTGAGTGTTGCTGCAATTGTTGCTGTTGAATAATCATTTGCTGTTGATTTTGCCAGTTTTGATGTTGATGATAAGATGGACAGTGGAATTGGTTTGAGCGGTTTTTACGGTAATGTTTGTCATCCAAGGCACAAGAGTTAATACGACGGAATTTTTCATGACCATTACCACTTTCACCGCTTCCTCCTTCTTCTTGTTTACAAATTAGTGAAAATTTAGGACTGTTGTTATAATTGGTACAATGATAATTATCATCAACTGATAGCCATCTATTTGACCAATTATCATCTATTTTCAAGTTATAAGGATCAGGGCTTATAGACCTTGGATAACCAGTTTCACGTAAACATGAATCAGAAAATTCTTTCAAATCATTTATTTCATTAATTGTATTAGCAGCCGATAAATGATTATGAGAAATACGAGTTTTACCCAAAAGCCAATAAGTTCTCATTTCTCCTTTACCCTTTGGATGAAAAAAGAAACAAAAAAACATTAGATTAATTCAATTTCAAGGTAGATTGTTTGTGTGGTAATTAAATTATCTCACCTTGATTGGAGTCATTCCTCTTTCATTGAGTTTATAACCTCCAAGTTTATGCAAAATAATCTTACAAGCTTCACTCACATGGATTTTGAGAGCTACATGAAGGAGAGATTATGCGTTAAGAATGTTTAATTGACAATTGAAATGTTGATCTGTGATTGACTTACCTTCACCAGTTGATTCCATTCTTGAAGCTGTATTAACAGTATCACCAAATAAACAATATCGAGGCATTTTAAGTCCAACAACACCAGCTACACAAGGACCAGAATGAATTCCTATTCTTAATTTCAATCTTTCTCCTGGTTTGTGAGGTATTTCAAAATTTTGAATGGCACTGAGCAAATGAAGAGCCAATGAAGCAATTTCACCGGCATGTCGATCACCATTACGAATTGGTAAACCTGAAACAACCATATAAGCATCACCAATAGTCTCTACTTTGTACACATCATAATGTCCAATGATAGAATCAAAACACGTATAAAGATTGTTAAGTAATTCAACGACCTAGCAGATAATGAAAATGACAAAAGTTGAAAGGTTAATTTGAACAGTTACCCAAGAAAAATTAAAAATTAAAATTAAAACAAGCAAGTGATCTCAATTCTGTACCTGGAGAGGTGTGCTTGATGCCGATAAAGCTGTGAATCCAACAACATCACTGAAATAGATGGTGACTGAATCAAAACTTTCAGCTTCAACAGGTTGTCCACGTTTCAATTGTTCAGCAACAGGTCTGTATTGATAAATCAATTAATAGATTTAGCATTTGTTTAATTTTACAAAATACTTAATTGTGTAGAAGGAAAAATTATCTTAAAGAAACTCACTTTGGTAACATACGAAGGAGAAGATTTTCTGTCTTTTTCTTCTCTTCCACCAATTGATTAGTCCTTTCTTGAACCAAACCTTCTAAATTGTAAGCATACTTTTCCATAATTGCAATCATATTGTCAAATATATTTGGTTTTCTGTAACAAAAGAGACCCACAAATTGAATGTTAATATGTATTCAATTTTCATTGGTTAACTTAATAACTTACAATCCAGCTTGCATATCTCTTAATTGAATATTAATAAAACGGAAATCTGGTCTAACTTCTGGATCTTCATACCAACAATCTCTAATACACTTTTTAACATATTCAGGACACTGAAGAGCATTGAGCGGAGGACGAAAAATGTGACCACCATATTGACTTGGATATTTAACTCTATCCAATATTGAACGGACTGATAATTCAGAGATTCCCCAAGGTCCTTTACGTCCGATTATTTCAAATAGTATGATAGCAAATGAGTAAATATCGCCCTTCTGAGTACCTCGTGATGGCGGATTAATTTGTCGCAATAATTCAGGAGCTTGCCACAGCAAACCTAAATAAAAAAGAGATTATCTTGAATTAGTTCAAAATTATATTGATGCTTATTTGAAGCTGTAAAAATCATGAGATTAACAGACCTCTTTCCCGTTTCTCGGCATATTCTGGAGGAAATTCTTGTCCTTGTTGAAACTCGTGCAACCCAAAGTCAGTGATTTGTAAAACCCAACGAGAATCAACCAAACAATTGGAGGATTTAAGATTACCATGGGATATAATATAAGAATCATGAAGATAAATCATTCCCTAAGGAGGAAAGAAAAAGGAGTAAATTAATGAATAAAGAAATATAATGGATAAATTTAGACATGAATGGTCATAGGCAGGGGAAGAAGACAGAAAGAAGAATCGAGAGGGAAAAAGAGGGAGGAAAAGTAGAAAGAGAGAAAGAAGGTGATGATGAAAATGATGAATAATAAAAGTAGTGAAAGAATTATGACAGAAACAAATAATAACAGAAAATAATTTAATCAATTGTCCAATTGTCAATGCATGTTATTGCCCGTACATAAAGACTACCCTTATTGAAGTAACCGTTAGTTTCATTTATACTGTGAGTTGATTGATTTGAACTGATAGACAAAAGTACAATTGAATAATAATCAGACAAAGAGGACAAAAAGTTGAGGTCAAGATCTTACCTTAATTAGATCAGCAACCAGTGAGGCTATAAACATGTTATCCAAATCAAGATCTTGATTTTTGAGAACATCCTGTTAATATGGATTGCAATGGTGATAATCAGGAGGAAAATAATGAAAAAAACAGAGAAATTGTCGTTGAAATAGAAAAAAATTGTTAATATTATAATTTGAGAAAGTTGAAATTAAGTCAATCAATCTTAGAAAATCAAAGTCATGCTGAAACTGCCAATAAGTCATGTTAATATTTAATCTAGATCAAAGATCAATCTGGATTAGCAAACAATACAAAGAGATAAAATGATTGTGAGAAAAACAAAATTTAATTACCTCAAGGCTACCTCGAGCACAGTAAAGCTTCAAGATCGTCACATTAGGAGCATCAACACAAGCTCCGATGAATGGATTAATGTTTTCATGTCTCATCTCACGAATCTGATTAGGATAATCAACAGTAATCGAGACAATACTTTAAGTATGCGAAGCTGAGATTTTGAAAAATATTTTGAAAAATCAAGGTTTTGTTTCATTTACCTGAATAAGCTCTTTACGAACATTTCTTGTCAAATCAATGCTCTTTTTATAGATTCTTTTGATGAAAACAACATTTCCCTTGTAAAATCCTATTCCATTGGCAAACATTTCGTCATTTTCCCCATCACTTCCATCTGTGTGGATTCCTTTACTATTCCTGTTTGATCCTGATTGAGCTGAGATGAATGCTGAAAATCGATATGGATCCAATCCATGAAACTAATCCAGTAATTAAAAGTTGATGATTGTAAATAACATTATCATTAGAATCATTAATAGTGAAAGTGTTTAAAAGATTAAGAGGAAAGTAAAAGCGTATGAAATTGTTGAAACAAGTAAACACATGAAAAATAAAATAAACATTCCGATCACAGTTAAAAAAACAGGTAATCTTGAATGAAGTTTACGTTTACTCACGTTAATTGTATTTCGTAAATTTTGAATAGTATATTCTGAATTTGTTTTCAACAAAATTAATTCCTTCATATCAACTTTCCATAACAAGCAGGCAAGTTTATATTCATAGCGATAATGTCTAAAGAGAGAGGAAAAAAATATTAGTCTCATAGAAAATGATTTCATTAGAAATAGTATCTTACCTGAACGCAAGCGAAAAGACGACAATTAATACTAGTGAACCAGCAAATGAGCTAACAATCACGATCCAATCAGGCTTGTGGATACATTTTTCACCATCAAAACCACAATAAGGTTCACTTGCTGGAGGTTCACCGCCGATCCAGTCTATTTGATGTTCCAAGCTTAAAGACTAATGAACATTAAAGAGACCAATTAATCAAATAGATAAGCTAAAATTCAACAAATCTTACAGGTAGCCCGAGTCCTTTTTGATAGGTGAATCGTCCAACTGGCTGCATTGTTTTGTTCCAAGTTGTCTTATTATACCATATAGCTTTTGGATTGTCAAGTAATGCCAATAAGGTGTAATTACCTTCAGCGTCACCATTTTCATCAATAGTAACATCAAATCCGAGTATACCTTGAAGAAGAAGAGCCAGAGAAAAAGTAAAAGTAAATTAAATCTATATTTCAGTAATTATTGATGAAGTTTAAACACTTCATAACTGTTTGATATCACCAATATCGGTAAATTCGAGACATGAAACACACTTACTTCGGTATCGGGCATTTTTTATATATTCAACCACAAGAGTGCCATTGGTATAATCAGATCCATCATTGATGAGTTGAGTCACAGCCATTGCATAAATCATAACAGCATCATAAGCTAATCCAGCATAAATGGGAACCTAAGATTAAAAGAGTCAATCAATTGATTACTTGTCGTAAACAGCTGAAATTTAGGATAAATAAAACATAAACAAGCTAATGAGAAAACATAGCGAAGCATGTTTACCGCCATATTAACAGCGGTATAAAGAGTTAACTCTAGTCCCTCTCCAATTTAAAAGAAAGAAAATCTCTTTCTTTTTAATTAAACGGTTTTCTCGTAAGATGGCGATGGAGAGAAGATCAAAGGATTTAAATTTTTCATTTTAAAATTGAGTATTATTTACTTATTAATTCAATATTTCCTCCCTTACAGAAACTCGAATGCTCTATTTATTTGCAAGAAATGATGGTTAAGAATCTTGGCTGTTTTAATAATAATAATTAAATTATGCTGCTCTTCTAAACAATCAACAGAAGGAACACGGAAAAGCGTTTATAAGCGTGAGTGTAACGATGCCAGCGAAATAAAAGAAAAGCTTTGCGTGTTTGGATTGATCTTTTTTTCCTGGACGGAATCAGAAAAACGCTAAAATGATGTCGCTAAAATATCTAACTTGACTTTGAGTAGATCTATTGCTGATCGATCTTTAGACCGACCAATTTTTGTCGCTGAAAGGTATGTACATTCAACTTTGGAAAGGAGCTACAGCCATAGGATATGAATATGAAAATTTTTATTCATTTCTATTTATACTTTCGCCTGTTATTCATGCTTATTTACACAGTAATTGGAGGGTTAAATATTCAAGACACTCAGTTCATTTGGCTCATTTTCGGTGTTTGCTCGTTGAATAATAAATTGTGACTATATCAACTTTAAATTTATCCCAATGAAATAGTGAAATCAACTTACATCAGGTTCAAGTAAATCGTGAAGTGGTACATTAAATGGATCCATCCCATTACGGCAGTTTACTTGTCGCTTGAATTTATCATAGTCTGGATTGATGGGCGCACTTGGTGTGACAATGAAAACAGCTCGAAATGGGAATGACAGGTTTGGATCGAAATTGGAAACCTCTCTTATATTAGCTTGATTGAGCCAAGTTTCAAACATCTGGAAATAATTTTCCTGCTTTTCTGGTGCATAAACAACTTCATCTTCAATTGAGATGATCGCATAATCACCGGTTGTTAATAAGTTACGCTGTTGCATTAGATACGCATAATCAGCAACTGCCTCGATGTCTGATATAAGAACGTAAACTGAATTATACAACAAAAAGAAAGGATTGAACATATGAAACAATTAATGATAAAACGACGACATTACACTCATCAAATAGTCACTTTGAATTTGATGCAACAACAAAATGTATCTCAATTGGATGGTACTTACTGCGTGTTTTAGCATAACTATCCTCAATAATCTCTTCCAATTTGGTCTTGTGTTTGGTCAGATAATATGATGGCAAATAATACGTATTGTTTATCTGAATCCCATGTTGAGCCGCTAAAGCAATTAATGCCTCTTCAACCTGTCGATCAGTTGGATTGTTATTAACTATTAACACGATCTACATGGCAATATTAAACAAAACAAAGTCAATGATGAAATCACACAATCAACTCTCGGATCAAAAGAAATATTGATTATATGCAAGAAATGTTACATTTTCAAGCTATTATCCTATTTAATGTCAATCATTTTGTGAAATTTATAACAATTATACTTCCGATTGACTGCTATTTTTTTCTTGCTGTAGCTGGTTACAATGTCAAGCCCAATAATAATAATTGCAACAGATCCAAAAGAGTCTTAACTCAGTTGATTTGCGTCATAATCAAGTTGATATTTACGTTAACCAAAAAAGCCCAAAAATGTCATTTCTACAAGACTAAACCAGACTGATCAACATTGATGCCTCAATTGATCTATACTGATCACCACGTTTTTCACCCAATCATGTTAAGTCTACAAATTTTACCTCCTCCTTTCAATTAACTTTAAAGAGGTATAAAGATTCAACTGGATTAACTTATCAATCGACACGTTGAATATGACAATCGATGTAGGTGGTAAAAAGGCAGACAAAAAAGCTGATGAAATCAAATTGACGACTGAATTATTATAAATCAAGTATCCGTATTAACATCTTTCACCCTGACCTTAGCCTTTCATTTCGATAACAATTGATGTTCATAACTGTTAAGTCTACATCTTCTAAGTGACTGATCACCAACAATTACCAGGAATATTGATACAAATTTACAAAAAATGACCATAAATGCCAATTGACTCACCTTGTTCCAGTTGAAGTGTTTGAGTAAAGATATTATGGATTTGGACACTTTAGATCCTGGTGGTAAAGTACGAGCAAATGTTGCATAAACTGATTTATCAGAAACAGTTCGATCAGCACATTTCTATCATGGAAACATAAAAGTATTTGAAAGGTAGAAAAAAAGGGTTGTTATTCAATTGTTGAAATAATAAAGTGCAGAAAGGATTTTTGTTTTTATAACTGCTTTTTTGCTTCTTCCACCTCCAGTTATTGGTGACTATATTTTTTCACAATGCCACAGCTGCTGATCAATTAAGTACTTAAGAGGCAAAAAAGTGTTGACTTGTCAACCAACGGGCAACAAAGTAACAAATTAAGCTTGGTCAATCCTTAATCAATCAAACAAACGACTTGTTAATCGTATACTTTAACACAGTGATCAAGGAAGATGAAGACAAAAAATCTGTTAATCTTTAGGTTTTTCTGGTTCAAGTTGATTCCACAAGTTTACCATACAATAGCTAATAAAAACTATTGAATTTCATTCACTAAATTCACTATTCTGGTCAAAATTTAGCTCAATTTTACACAAAATTTTTACTTATTTTTTCACACATTATTGTGATATTTAGCTCTTATTTGAGTATATACAAGGTTTCAAGGTGTAAGCAATTGGAAGCCAAAGTTAATACGGTTTAAGGTGTGCTTTAAGGAACCAAAAGGGAAAACAAAAGGTTGAATAATGGGTGAAAATGGCTTGTTATTTGTTACCAAGGCATTGCTTAGTCTTCAACCTTCAACCTTCAATGCCAACACCAACAAACAGACTTGAACAGTTGCAATTTTTGTTTTTTTTACAATAACTATAAAGTAATACGATGAATCAAGATTATTGTCAGACTGTTTTTCCCATCGAAACCCCAATTGTCCAGTTAAATTAAAAAGAAACTGTGATTGATCAAGTTTGATGAGCAAAAATTGTATCATGCTGATAGCCGTGAATCATTCACTCACCAATAATATAAAAATAAAGAGAAACAAAAAAGGCATGAGAACTGGATTGACAAATGAACACTATTGAGGTTAATGTAAATTATACAACACATTATGCTTATATAATGGACATTCTGGCAAGATTTGCCTGTTTGTCAAAATGGGTAAAAGCTGGTGAAATTACCAGTCCATTAAAAGATTACCAGTCCAGGATTGCAATGGTATAGCTACTTACGTAAGTAATCATTGGATAATTCCAGGCAGTAGCAACAAGTGCTTCAGAGACGCAACTATTTTCTGGTCCAATAAATGCTACAACACCTTGCTCTCTCATCTCGGTCATCATACGAATGGAGGTTGCTGTATTGGGTTGACCAGCGTCCATTGCAATAAAATCCAAAGTGTGATTTGGTAAAAGTTGAGGATCTCTACAAGTATAGATGGTAAACACAAATTAAAGATAAACATTCAACATCCAATATTAAACATTAAGAAAGGTTCAACTTGGACTGGATCAACGACGATTCACTCAAATTGATTGTAAGGACGATTGGAGTCAGTTTAATCATTGAAATGTTTACCTGTTGATTTGGTCGATTGCCAATGGAATGGCTCCTGAAATTTCTTTACCCAAACCATATCCTTTGAATGAACTGAGAAATCCAACCGTTATGTTTAAATAATTTGGATTAATTTTATTCTCGAGTCTATCAACATCAATACATCTACTTGGTACAATTGACTCGACAATTGAACACTGGATTAGCAGGTAAAAGTAAATGGTTAACATATCACTGGGTTGCAAGTGGAGTTGACCAGTTGAAGGTGAAAATCGAAGCAAAACGCAACACAAGCAAATTAATATTTGAAAAATTAACACATGGAATGACAATCAGTTGACAGAATTAACAATCAATCCATTTTGTAGTTTTACTTTCATAAGCTAATCACTAATTTAAATTAATTTACAGTTGAAGACGAAAAGTTGACTTGATGGAAAAATTTGTTTAAAATTTTAAATCTGTTTCAACCTATTTGCTTTACTTTAATTTTGTACTTCAAGTTATCATTGAATTAATCAACAAGTTATCATAGAAGATGAATCAGATCTGAGTCGGTTTCAAATGGACAATTCAATTTTTCGTCTTTCCTCTCAATCAATCAATTTAACTGTTCTGAGCATTATAGTTGAGATGATATGATTTAGATGGACAATTATGATAATGGTACAAGTGTGCAACAATTGTGTATCACCAACTTTGACTCCAAATAATCTGACAAAAACTCCAACATTTACACTCCCTTAACCTATCCATATTTAACCTTCATAACTATATTAATCAAAGAGTGAGAGTTGATTATATTTATTGTGACTTTAATTTTTCATCTCACATCAAATAAGTCACCATCTATTGAGATAATGAACAAAAAAGGATAAAATAGATTCACAATTTTGCGATTTTCTTGATACTTTTTTTCATATTTTGGTTTATTTTTTTTTGTTTTTCTCAAATCAAATAGGAGGCAGAGTCAAGTTAATTTTTAGGTTTCACCATCTCGAGCATATTTAGTTTTTCGATATAAGAAAAAAATAATGCAATAGAAAACTGAAAATGAAGTTCGATTCTATTGGTACTTTCATTTACTGTCTTTAAAAAACTCCGTTTTTGTTAGCTCAAGCCTGACTAATAGTGTATTCAATTCTTAAAAGCAAACTTGAATGAAAATGGAAACCTTAAACTTGTCATTATTTTTTACTTATTAATGCTATTCAATATCACATAAACATGGATATTGACTTTTGTTCAAACAGAAATGCGGCCATGAATGAGTTTTTGTCAGTTTACTAGTTTCTTCAAAAATTAAGCTCATAAAAAATCGCGATTTAAGCTTCTTCAAATTCAAGCTTTTTAGTTCCTTCGTTTTCAAAACAAAAAGTCTTTTTTGCGATTGAAAAAAGTCGGGTTCTAAAATTGGA